CAGTTGCTAATACTTCTAGGAAAAAACCCAAGAATTTCCATGCTTCCATCGTTCCGGGGCCCCAATCAGCACCCGCGCAGGACATGGAACCGGCTGAAGAAATGGGCAAGGCTGCATGGAAGTGCCCTATCCCACTGGCTCAGGAACCCGGGAATCCCGCTGCCCTGCTCTCCCTGATCCGCGAGCATTCCCCATTTGTGGGTTTTCAACGAAATTGAGTTAAAAGCCACACAAATGCAGCGGGCACGGCCGCTGCCCCTCCGGCAGTGCCGGTGCCAGGGCTGGCGGGCATCTCCACGGGGCGCCGCACGTGCCGCTATTCCAGAGCTCCGGCTCCTCCCAAGGGCATCCCGCCCAGCGCATCCCAGTGCATTAATGCCAGGCTGAAGGAAGCAAAGGCAGGAGGGAGCCGAGCAGATGGCCATTAAAAAAAAAATAAAAAATCTGTTTTCTGAGATATTTTGCTTCTGTCTGCTGAAAGGAATGACTGGATGGAAAGGGACACGGTGCCGCTAGGGAAGGAAGGAACTAAGAGCTGGCGGCTGGATCACGATGTTCTCCCGTGGGGGGTCACGTGGAGACCACGAAGGAGCCACGAAGGCGGCAACGATGCAGCCTCGTCGCCTTGGGAAAGGTCTGCGGGGCAGCCGCCTCCCTCCTGCCACGCTCACGCGCTCCCGGGCACAGAAACCTGAAAAATAAACCACCCGCGGCCACCTAAACCACCAAAGAGCTGTGATTAACGAGGGGAAGGAAAGCATAAAGAAATGTTTATCTTGCAAGAAATTAAAGTTTCGGTGACGAGGCAGTTGATTAATTTAATCAAGTTGGGAGGCATCTATTAAAATCCATTTTATATGATTTAATGAGAGAAGGTGCTAGAAATGGTGATTTTAATCAGACAAGTGGGATTTAAAGGCAAGAAGATCCTGCTTAACCAACTCATTAGAGTTCTCAAAGAAAAAAGCCTAGCGTTCCTGCAGATGGTGAAAACGAAATTTACTGTATATCTTTACTCTAAGCACTTAGTGATGCTGTACATCACAAATTAACAGATTCAAACAAACAAAAAAAAAAAAATAAAGTCAAAGGAAGAAGAAAWCCGCTAAAGAAAACCCAGAATGGCTCCAATGCTCTGCTGGAAGACAGAACTCCCTCAAAAGCCAGTGCCTGTTAGGACTCCCAAATCCCTATCATAATAAATTAAAGGCTTTTTTTAGGTCAGGAATACTCTAATAAAGCATTTTAATACTTTTTATAATGTATAAGATGTTCACAGCCTGGCCTTGATCAGAGGGCAGCACATTTGGTATCCTTATTGCACCGTGACACTGGGAAGCACACTGAGAAGTTCACAAGTTCCCGGAGAAAACGGTCAGGAGAGAGCTCGGCATCATGTGCCAGCTGGGCCGCCCCTTCTCCTGCAGCTCTTTCCAAACATTTGAAAAACAGCGTGTCATGGAAATCCGTGCCTGGTTCCTTTCCTCCCCTATTGCACGAAAGGGCTCCAAACCTGCATGTCCTCCTTCCTCCCCCATAGGAAGCCAGCAGCACGGTATGTGCCGGAGCAAGAGCTTGACGATGCACAGGCCTCTGCCTTGAAAACGATCAAGAAAAACGTGTTTATGACRGTAACATGAAAAATGGCAGAGCAAAAAGAATCATTCCAGTTATCCACCCTTACATTGTGCTATATATAGAAATTTTAAAATATATAAATATTRTATAATGAGTATTGACAAGATACACCTTCCAAATGCTATCTCATTACATATCTCATATGTATATAAGACATATATATGTATATATACATACAGATATGTGTGTGTGTGTGTATATATATATATATATAAAAAAAAAACAAGAGATGAAGCATTTGAAAACACAAAGCATTTTTAAGAAATCTGACTCAACCCCCCTGACCTGTCAGTGACTTCAATGATCTCTTCTTTGCTGGGTAGGACCAGCTCTGTATTTATCTTTCCTTGCGTTTCTTCCTCATTCTTTATTAGCCTGCAGGCTATAGCTGTCATTTCAATACAAACAGAAAAAAAAGCAATGCTTAGAGCATGTCACAACATAAATATTATTATTGTTACATTTCTGTTTGCTGTGTGATTCTGAACTTTGGCACCAGCAGACCCTGGCGAGACGCAGCTTGTGCCCGTGGGGATCTCAGGTCTTTACAAAGGATGGTGAGGACCTGAGCTCAATAAGATACCTGAAAAGCTCTCCCCGAGCCCAAGCAGAAAGTGCTAGGCATCCATTTAAACCCATGAAGTTGAGGAACTGATGAACACCAAGGGTTTTTTCTATTAAATAAGCTGACCTAGGTTGCCAGAAGAGATGCTGATGGTGGGAGCGCAGCAGGACCCAGGAGGAGCCGCTCACCTGCAGCAGGTCGCGGGAACCTCACAACAAAAAGCAAAGCGTGCAGTTCCTTTGTGCTGCATTTCCAGGGCTTGAGAAGCGATTTATCTCCATGGTATCAATGTTCTTCAAGTCAATTTTATATATAAAAAAAAGAAAAGACGACAGCCACTTCAGAAAATTGCCGTTATTAGGAGGCTGTTCATGTCGAAGTTCAGCAGCCGAGTTATTCCAGACAGCTCCTTGGCGTCGCCGCGTCAACAGGCACGGAGCGGAAGCGAAAGAGCCCATGTAACTCCGGATGAAATTTAGGAGTAAAACTACAGCTCTGCTGAGCACGGATTTTGCCACTYAGGAAGGCAGATACCGGAGCGAAATGAACTGTTTTAAACCAGAGCATTAAACCCGAGGGCAACTTTAAGCTGGAACGAGCGGGTTCCGGGCACTGCCCGCCGCGGGACGGCCACGGGAGCCGGGACACRCAACGGGCATCATTGCATCTGACTTCCACGCACCTCTTGCCTTAGGAAAGAAACCAAACGCCAAGGCTGGGTAACGACACGACTTCACCCGCCTTCGCTGTCCCCTCACACTGAAGCACAGCYTTATGAACGTTAAAATCCAATTCCCTTTCGGATGTTTCCGAATAAATGCCAGGAGACGTTTCCTGATGACTCCTCCGCACGCAGAGCAGCTGCTGGGAGCTGCTGGGAGGGCCGAGCAGGAGCGAGGCCGCCGGGAATGGGCTGCTTTCCTCCCGCCACGGGAAAGCACCGCCAAGGAGGGCCTTGCTCTGCAAAGGCTGCCGCTGTCCTCGCCCGGGGAAATGCAGCAGATTCCAGCAGCAGCGCTCAGCTCTGCGACCGCACGTGGGGACCTCGTGCCCAAGCCCGCAGCGCCACGGACWCCACTATTACTATTTAATAACAACAATCGGGGCTGTTCCTGTCTTGCCCAGCAAGTCAGTTCTGCACAGGAGCTGATAACGCCAATAAAAGCACAAAGGCCATTCTGCAAATCCGTGACGCTCCAGATCTGCTGAGCTCCAGATCTGTTGAGCTGGCAGCTGCAGCACAGAAGCCCCATTTGTCTGCAAGGGATTTAACCGTCTGCCCGGCCTCACGCACCAAATAATGAACTCACCGGTCCGACTTGCGCCGGATTCAGCCCAAACTTCCACCACGCGCAGCTCCAACCCRGGTGCATTTGCAAATCAACTGCAGTGTATTTAATCTTCCTCCAACCTACTTCCCAGCAGTCTACATATTCATTAGCAGCCCGGCTGCTCTGAACTATATGCAGATTAATCAGGACTCGCTGGGCTCCTGCGAGACACACGGGCATCACCGGAGCTCCTGCCACAGCCACACGCAATAGGAATTAGTTTGCAAAGCCAGCCTTTTGGAACTGGTGACCTGCTCGCTGACTTTCACAGAGACACGCTAAAAACCAGGCTCTGAGCCCGACAGAGCAGGGCAGCCTGGCCTCCAAACGCCCGCAAGTTCTTCCTTGTCCACTCTTTTATTGCTCTTTCCAAGCCAGCAAACATTCAGAACTTTCATTACACACCCCACATCATTCACACTGTGCAGCAAGAGCAGCTAACGCTGTTTTACACTGAGAATAAAAAATAAATAATAAAACRCACACAACAGACCAAGCCTCCTACAGGCTTTCCCCACAGAAAGATCCAGGAGTGCCAGCTGCAAATTATTCTATAATGCTGCAGGAATCCCCGTCAAATTATTGCTGCTGCTCTGGGATGGCTGTGGGCGATTAGAAGCAAACCATAAATTAAGGCAGCTTAGGTGGGAGATTTCTGCAAGGCATTATTTCCACAAATACAAGAGCGCCGGTTTGAGCAGCATCMGGTATCAATGGGGCACATCAGATTTGCTTTAAATGGTGCCTGTTTCTATGGAATGTGAGTCAGCCTGACTTCGTGTTCAGAACTCCCCAGGTGGAGGGGCTGCCTCTGCAGTTGCATTTGCTTTATGTTTCCCCCCGCCCAGGCAGGCGGCCCACGTGCAAGGCTGCCCGTGATGCTGCACCCCATCAGCAGGGGACAACGCTGGCAAACTTTGCCCAGCCAGGACTGACACATCCACAAAATACTTCCAATTTTTTTTTTGCTCTACTTGCAATGTCCAAGCCTGAAATATTATAAAAATACATTTGAAAAGATGTAAACATGCTTTTTATTTTTATGTAATTTGTTTTAAAATTCCAACGGGTTATTTGCAAAACTGCTTTTCCTCCATCATTCATATTTTATATTGTCTTATATTTACTTATGTGTTAAAAAGCACTGGAGTCCTCTGGTCTGTGTGCCAGCCCCCAGATCATTACGCAAGCAAATTATGCTAACATCAGTAAGACTTTTTCTTGAAAAGCACCAACAATGCAACTCTGCTGCCAGCAGCCTCACTGGGTATCAGCTGGATGCATTGAAATATCGCAGTGCTGGCTTCTAGGAGATTGCCTGCTCCACGAGGAAAGAGCAGAGGGAACAGAAACGTGGGGACACAAGTACAGGAATGGGGAATACGGTGGGATGATTTAGGTTAAAAAATCAGTTCCAACTATCACATTTTTGGGGCAAGCGTTTGCTCGGCTTTTCCTCCACTCACCAGTGGTCTCCACGATGCCCTCGAGGATGACGACGATCTCAAACTGCTCGGTCTGCATGCTGCGCTGGGACAGGTCGTAGAAGGGGCTCTTGGCGTCTATCACGTGGCAGATGGTGAGCGGCGACACCAGGAAGAGCTGGTCGGCGCCCGTGCTGAAGCCCACGTCCAGCTCCAGCTGGTCGAGCGGCAGGAACTCGCCCTCGGGCGTCTGGCGGGACTGCAGGGGCAGGCGAGACGCAAGGACAGAGATCACCGCCTGCTCGGCCCTCCCGCGGCGGCATTTCGCATCCTCACCATCACCATCATCATCACCATCAYCATCACCATCATCATCGTCATTGTCATCAGCGAGCCGGGGCAAACCCCAAGCTGCCCCTCTAGCACCGTGTGGATGTGTCTGGATGTGTCTGGATGTGTAAGGATGTACATGGATGTACATGGATGTACATGGGTGTACACGGACGCAGGTGCCCCGCGCGGCACGGCAGAGCAATGCCTCTCTGGGGACCAGGCTGAAGCCAGTCCCCAAGCAGGGGCTCCACACGCAACCCCGAGCCCCTCGCTAGCCAGATCCACCGACACTTGACAAGACACGTTGTGACACGACGGCCTCGGAGCGCCCGTTCCTTGGGCCAGGGCTTGCAGCCACATCCAGGGGCGGAGAGCACGCCAGCAAGGAGCTCCGGCATGGCACAGTTGTGCCAAGCAGGCTAGCAGCCGCTAACGGCAATGGAAAATGAGAAAATGAGGGCCCATGTGCAGGGCTGTAACAGGAGCCACAACCACCGCGGGCAAAGCAGCTCCCTCCGCCCGCGCCCGTCCTGGCCTTGCATTCCCCCTCTCCGTGTTGTGAATAGAGCATTGCAGCCCTTCCCGGCAGCTACGGTATTGCAGAACTGTCTGCTAGCTGGACAGAGAAGGAAAAACAAAATAAAGGTGGTTTATGAGCTGTTGCATTTGTCACATGTAAGCAAGCCCGATGCTGGAAAKGAGCCTGCACCGTCCTCTCCTCCGCAGCAGACCCGCGGCAAAGGCGAGCGGGGCAGCGGGCGGCAAACGCGCCTCGCCTCCGATCCCGTTCCTGTTTTAAAAATTCTGCTGCGCACTTGTAGGATTTGGAGGAAATTCTAATCCGGGCAAACACTGGCCCTGGAGCTGCAGCTGGGAAAAACGCCCTTATCTCCTCGTGGGGAAAAGCAGAGGATCTCGGCGCTGCCGCCGAGGTGCCCTCCTGCTGCCAACATGAGYGCCCAAAGGTGGATTCCTGCAAAGCCAGACCCAGGGACGGCTCCGAGACCCTGCCCCAAGCGCACCCACGAGGGCGCTGGGAAACAGGGCTGCGCACAGGGCGGCGGGCAGAAATCCACGGAACAGGCACGGGATACAGCACGTAGGGAGCGCAGCTAAGAGCCATGAGAAGGAAGGGCTAACATAAAAATAATATAGACACTATACATAATAACATGTATAGCATAATACATACAGTATATAATCTAGTGTATTATATAAATATCTAYGGGTCTGGTTAGGTTATGGCGATGGTGTCTATGCCCAGGGGACACCCCCTGTGCCCAGGCCACGCTGCAGCTCRGGCCGGTGCAAAAACCAGGCGCAAAAACCTCCGATTTTACAGCTGCCATAAATCCGTGTATTGCATTAGTCTGCTATGGAGCCACAGCATGAAGCGTGACTGCTTTTACTGTGCGGGAATTCGAGTTAAATGGAGAGTTAAAATGTTACAGGCAAACCAAATATTATTTTACAGCTGCACCTGAGTTAAAGCCACCATTCGGTCCAAGCCAAGGGGCAAGAATTCATATTATTTACTGCTTTGCTATTTAAGCCCATACGTTTGTGGAAAGCAAGCAACCTTGCATGACCCTTTGGACTCGATTTAAGGTTGGGAGGGAAATACAGGACTTCTGAGTTTCATGGGAGTTTTTCACAATCTTGGAAATTCATCTGAAAAAAATGATCATTAAAACTGGAAATTTCTGCATTAACATGTAAGTTTTGAAGCCCTGTATTATCTCCCCCCTGAGAAAAATTTGAGCTTAGAAGGGGGAAAAAAAAACCCAAGCATTTCAGTTAGTGACAGTATCCAGGGGAGGGACAGATTCTAGTCCCGTACTTCTCCCTCCACGTTTATTCCCATCATTATGCATTGATCCCTACTCGCTCCGCAGCTTTGGGACGGTGGACAACASGTCGCCTTCACGGCAGGGGGGGCGGCGTGACCCTCTGGCAGAGCCGCTCGGTGTCACGCTGCGGTTCGGGAACTCATTTTGACCTCCGGCTCCTGCARTCCTCCCGGAGCTCCCCAGGGATGAGGACAGGGCTCGCTGGGGCCCCGCTGCAGATGTCCCGTGATCCCGCCGGCACACGGATCCCTCGGGCGCCGGGCACGTCCGTGCGTCCATCGGGATCRSCCGGCCGTGTGTCCATCAGGATCGCCCGGCCCGGCAACCACTGGGATCACCCGGCCGTGTGTCCATTGGGATCGCCCGGCCGTGTGTCCACCGGGATCACCCGGCTGCGCTCCCATCGGGATCGCCCAGCCTGGCAACCACCAGGATCGCCCGGCCGTGTGTCCATCGGGATCGCCCAGCCCGGCGCCCATCGGGATCACCCAGCCCGGCGCCCATCGGGATCGCCCAGCCCGGCGCCCATCGGGATCGCCAATTTCAGCGCCACTCCAGACACATCCCGCTCCCACTGAGCACACTGGGAACATGGCATCCCATAAACACGCACTTTTCCTCGGACACAGGCATCGCTCTGTGCTATTTTTAAATGTATATGGTGCCCTTCGGCTACCCGTGGAGTYTGCGCATCAAAATAAAGAAAGTTCTGCCCGCCGGCCCTCCAGGGTGCCTGAAAGCACCCAAATACACTGGAAACCGCAAGGGCTTTCCTCCCCTCAMACACCAGGAATTCACAGCAAAAAGCATGGGCACTGTAAGAGAAAAATCTAGTATTCATTTTATATATACATATACATATAYACACACACACACGTGTGTGTATGTGCATCTATTTGGATATTTATATACACACACATATATTTACATTACAGGGAAGAAATCTAGCAGTCATTCATATAAATATATGTATATACAAATAGACACACATCCCTACGTGTATRTATGTACACTGCATTATAGAGAAGAAATCTCACATTCATTCTATGTATAGTTATATAAATATCCATATGTGTGCATATATAGACACACGGATACATGTGTATGTATACATTATATATATATATGCAAAGGGTACATGTGCATATATGTATACATATATATGCACATAGGTATATATAAGTGCATATATGTAAGTGCATATATGTAAGTGCATATATGTAAGTGCATATATGTAAGTGCATATATGTAAGTGCATATATATGCATATGCATATATTTACATTACAGGGAAGAAATCTATATGTGCATATCTATATGTGCATATGCATATATATATATATGCACATATACATATGAGGACTGCCCATGGGGCCACAAACTAAGGGCACCAAGGCTCAAGTCCAGGGACCTGCATGAGGAGGGAGAGGAGGGAGAGGAGGGAGAGGAGGGAGAGGAGGGAGAGGAGGGAGAGGAGGGAGAGGGGGAGCCACGGCAGGCGCCCCGGGGTGCGCGCGGGCGGCGGGGCAGGGCGCTCACCTTGAGCAGCTTGCAGCGGATCTGCGCGGACACCATGTGGCTGTTGCGCAGGTTGCCCACGCGGAACATGAGCGTGAGCTTGCCGTCGCGCATGGAGATGGCGGCGTGCTCGCTGAACATGAGCGTCTCGGCGCGCTTCTTGGGCTGCGACATCTTGATGAACATGCAGCCGATGAGGAAGGCGTCCACGATGGAGCCCAGGATGGACTGGAAGAGGAAGAGGATGATGCCCTCGGGGCACTTGTCCGTGATGTAGCGGTAGCCGTAGCCGATGGTGGCCTCGGTCTCGATGAAGAAGAGGAAGGCGGAGGGGAAGTTGTAGACGTTGGCCACGCAGGGCGTGTAGCTGTCGTCGTGCGCCTTGTTGAGGTCGCCGCGCATGTAGGCGATGACCCACCACATGGAGGCCATGAAGAGCCAGGCCACGGTGTAGGTGAGGATGAAGATGAAGAGGTTCCAGCGCCACTTGAGGTCCACGAGCGTGGTGAAGAGGTCGGACAGGTAGCGGCTCGTCTCGCCGCCCAGGTTGCCGTGCTGCACGTTGCAGCGCCCGTTCTTGTCCACGAAGCGCTGCCGCTTGCCGCGCGGCGCCGCCCGCGGCGGGGGCAGCCCCGCGCCGCTCGCCGACGTGCTCACCACCTGGTACTCGTCGCCCAGCTTCCGCCGCAGCGCCGACATGCTCGGCGCAGGGCCGGGC